AAAAAAAAAAAACTTTAATGTCAATGTTTGATGCAAAATCAACGATATAAATATGCTGCAACAATGGTGGCATTCCATTAATACCAACATCGATCACGTTTGCACGTTTACATATACGTGCGTTACAATCTAGACTAATTAGATTAAGTGGAATCTCACGTAAAGTTAGTCGTTATCATCTCGAGAATAGTCTATTCACAAGTAGACAGCAATGGTGACATTCCATTAATACCAACATCGATCACGTTTGCACGTTTACATATACGTGCGTTACAATCTAGACTAATTAGATTAAGTGGAATCTCACGTAAAGTTAGTCGTTATCATCTCGAGAATAGTCTATTCACAAGTAGACAGCAATGGTGACATTCCATTAATACCAACATCGATCACGTTAGCACGTTTACATATACGTGCGTTACAATCTAGACTAATTAGATTAAGTGGAATCTCACGTAAAGTTAGTCGTTATCATCTCGAGAATAGTCTATTCACAAGTAGACAGCAATGGTGACATTCCATTAATACCAACATCGATCACGTTAGCACGTTTACATATACGTGCGTTACAATCTAGACTAATTAGATTAAGTGGAATCTCACGTAAAGTTATCATCTCGAGAATAGTCTATTCACAAGTAGACTTTCACATTAAAATCATTAATTCTAAATAATTTGTCACACACTCACAGTGATATCTGCGAATATTAGAAATGTATCGTATTCGAATGATAATTTTAGTACCTTTGAAAGCGCTCATTGATATTTCAGAATGAAAAATCAAACAATTACCGCCATATTTGTTCTAGTTGCAAGTGCTCAATTCATCTCAATACTTGGACAAATGTATGCAAATAGAAAAAAAAAAAAAAAGAAAAAAACTAATATTTTAGAATACGCTCTATTATCCCTTAGATAACGCTCTATTATCAATATTTGACCATCGTAGTGATAATTTTCTTTGGTAGATCGTCAAACTTAAGCTTTTCTATCTTTCTTCATTAACAAACTTTTCAGTTCGTTAACGGAACGTGCGCAGTTAGACTTTGCGGTAAGTTTACTGCAAAATGTTGCGGAAAGCGATAAATCATCCGTTCTGTCACCTTTTTCGGTTTCAACTTCACTTTTTATTGCTTACCTTGCAGCGGACGGTGAAACGAAGCAGCAACTGCAGAGTGCCCTTGGAAAAGGTAATTTTAGCTTGAAATATATAAATTTAAAAATTTTATTTTCTTCTCTAGGCAACCACTGAGAATATTATTCCGCCATGACATTTTACCTGTTGTCAAAGCGAAGCCAAGAATGTTATCAGTAAAGAAATGATAAAATAATTTCAGATGCTAGCATACCAGAATTCCGACTTCATTTTATCAAACAATTGGCTTATATCGCAGAGGCAGAAAATAGAAATTACACATTAAGTGTAGCAAATCGTCTTTACGTACGAGAGGGACTCAGTGTAAAAGAGAGTTTCCAAAGAGTGCTCAGTTTCTATTACAGCGAGACATTGCATAAATTTAGTTTTGGACAAAGAAATGAACTTGTTCAGGTATAATCTATGATAAAAAGCAAAGATTCAGGTGAAATAAAGAGAGAAAGGTGAAGGGAAAATGGATCAAATCGTTATTTTACTTTTTTAAATTTATCATTTAGTAAAATTTCATTAAATTTACTATTTTTTTTTTTTTAAATTAAATTTATCATTTAGTAAAATTACTTTTCAGCAAATCAATAATTGGATTTCGAGTGAGACAAACAATAAAGTTAGAAATATGATAACAGAGAATAGTATCACCAAAGATACCAGAATGTTACTTATGAATGCAATTCATTTCAAAGGCACCTGGGCAGTACAATTCATTGATTTTGCAACTAAACAAAAGCCATTTCACATTTCTGAAAATGAAACGAAACTGGTAATTATGCATGAATAATTAGATTAATAAATTATTTATTCTTAATTAGATTATTATCTTATTATTTTTATAGATTATTAAATTATTTATCTTATTATTCTTGTCAGTTCAGGTACCAATGATGGCAAAATCGGATACAGTTCCGTATTACGAAGATGATTCTGTGCAAGTTATCAAATTACCTTACATTGGTGATGAAGTAGAAATGGTTATCATATTGCCAAGAAGACGTTTCGGCTTATCCGATGTACTGGGAAATTTGTCAGGCGAAAAGCTACTTAAATACGTCAATGAAGCAACGAACCGAAGTGTTTCCGTAAGCTACCTGTCCATTTATAATTAATAATTTTCTTTTTTTTTTTTTTTGAAAAGTGGAAAAAAGAAACAAAATTTTGAAAGGTAAAAAGAGGAATTTAAGTGGAATAATTCTGTTACCATTTCTGTTTCGTCCCGAATTGTTGTTTTTTTCTCTTTCTAAATTAGCATGGAAGAGAGATTTTAGTTGATATAACTTTAAAGTTATTTTTAATTTTAGATTAAATTGCCAAGATTCAAAGTGGAAGAAAAACGAAATTTGAATAGTGCTCTGCAGGCAATTGGCATCACAGATGCTTTCAGCGGAAATGCTAATTTCGAAGAACTTTTTAGTAACTCACTTCCAATTTCTATTGGCAAAATTATTCATGGAGGTTTCATTGAGGTTTGTGTGAACTTTCTTTGCATCATAATTGGAAATTTTTTAATGACTTAAGTAATTACTTACAGGTAAATGAGAAAGGGACAGAATCAGCTGCTGCAACAATAATTGAATTAGAGGATCGCATGGGTTCATCGAAAATTTTCAACGCTAATCAACCATTCCTCTTTGCAATTGTTAAAGACTTAAAGACAGTTTTGTTCTTAGGACAATTTGTCAAATAGTCGAATGATCCTTTGTACTTTTCGTCATTTTTGTTGCTATGCATATGCATATGATAAATTTTTAGGTTTAAATCTTATATTCACCTTCGTCAATATTTGATATAACTTTGAATTCTTTACAAATACATACGTAAGTTAAGGCAAAAGGTATGCACGTTTGACGGAATCATAGCAGTTTGAAATTTTTTTAATGTCACATTTTAGCAGGTAGAAAATGTGTAAAATTCATTGAGGATGCTGGAATAAAGGAATTCACTTACTGCCAGCTTATTCAATTCATCTGTCTCTTCCTAAATAGCTTATTCTCAGATTCATCTTCCGGAACACGTAAACTGCGATAACTTAACGTTGACAAGATTCTAGAGACTATCTCTCTTATCAATACTTTCATTTGATCACTACCTCACGATTAATTGATAACACTCGTTGAACATCACTTTTTCACATAAAAAATTTGTGGTTCCCTTTCTTGGCACACCTGAAGGGAGCCATTTGGATTCCACTGAAATATATACGAACTCAAATTCTTGCGTAATCACAGTCCATTGATAAAGATATCAAAATCAACTGATAATGCTATATTAGCATTAATTACTTCTTGTCGGCAAAATCAAAAACTGCATTCAGTTATATGTATCGAAAAATTGAAATATCATAGACAAACATAAAAGCAGTTTCTGTTTCACACCTAAAAAATAACAAATGAAAAATGAGAAATCATTTATCCTTGTATGTAATTAAACTTTTCAAGAATTGTCGGAAAATCGGAAAGAAATTTTTTATTACACACTAATTTGATTTAGAATAATGCTAATGATTCATTACTATAAATCAATTCGTTATTCCTTTGTTATATTCCATTTTTTTTTTTCTTCGAAACAATGAATTCATTATCTAAACCTCAAATAGTAAATGTACATTTGTCTTCATTGTCCTTTCTTGTAAATGTTAATCTGTTAAGCTAAGCTTACTTCTCACATCCTTAAAAATCTTCTCTAATCAATTAATAAACAAAAAAAAAGAAGAAGGATCGATGGCAGTGTTCTCTTTCTCCTACTGCCATTTATTCCTTCCCTGCCTCAATTATTCGACTGTAATATTGTACCGATTTACACTTATTATTATTAGAATTCGAAGAAGTTTTACAATTAAAAAGTTCCAAAAGTTATAATTTAATTTCTTTTTTTTTCAGAAGTCAACGAAATTTTACAATTAAAGAGTTTTAAAGTTATAGATAATGAATTATAATCAATAAATTTTTTTTTTTTGATAACTAAAAATTATAACATTTTTTCTAGTCAATTCTATTACATTCAAACATTACTGGAGGTCAAAAAGTATTACATAATATTATAGCATTTTTTAGTCAAAAAGTATTACATAATATTATAGCGTTTTTTATCTATTTTCATTCCTTTTAATTTATTAATCTTACATAAATATTCACGAAATGTTGTTTTTTTTTTTTTTTTTTTTTAAATAGCAGTCATGCGCAATTATTGTTGATTTTTATTATATGACTTCTCTTATAATGATATTAATTTTAGTTTAATAATAATTAATCCACTTATTCTATCAAATATTTTTTTTAACCTTTAATCTATATTCTTCATTCATTCTTCAAAAAAAACCTTCAATTTCATTAAATATAACAATTTTGATAATATAATTATTATCAGGAAACCTGATCGATAGACCTATATTCCATAAACTTAGTTATACTACAATTGGAATCAATGTTTCTCTTAAATTACTAACTTTTTTATTGTTTTTTTGGGAATAAATTTTTGAAAATTGTATGATTTAAGGTCTGCGTTATAATGTTATTGATTAGAATTAAGTTATTAATCAGTTGTTTCGTTTTTTTTTTTGTTGTTGTTGTTTTAGGAATTTAATAGATTTAAATTACATATAATCAGATACAATGACTTTTTCTGGAGAGTTAATTACAGTAAACCGAATCAGATCCGGATCCATCCGGTTTGTCATAATCCACTAACTGGATCAGATCCGGATCCATCCAGTTTACTGTAATTCACTAACCGGATCAGATCCGGATCCATCCGGTTTGTCATAATCCACTAGCTGGATCAGATCCGGATCCATCCGGTTTACTGTAGTTTACTAACTGGATCAGATCCGGATCCATCCAGTTTACTGTAGTTTACTAACTGGATCAGATCCGGATCCATCCGGTTTACTGTAGTTTACTAACTGGATCAGATCCGGATCCATCCGGTTTCTCATAAATTACTAACTGGATCAGATCCGGATCCATCCGGTTTCTCATAAATTACTAACTGGATCAGATCGGGATCCATCCGGTTTGCCATAATCTACTAACTGGATCAGATCCGGATCCTTCCAGTTTACTGTAGTTTACTAACTGGATCAGATCCGGATCCATCCAGTTTACCGTAATTTACTAACTGGAGTAGATCCGGATCCATCCGGTTTGTCATAATCCACTAACTGGACCAGATCCGGATCCATCCAGTTTACTGTAATTTACTAACTGGATCAGATCCGGATCCATCCGGTTTGCCATAATCAACTAACTGGATCAGATCCGGATCCATTCAGCTTACCGTAATATACTAACTGGAGCAGATCCGGATCCATCCGGTTTGTCATAATCCACTAACTGGATCAGATCCGGATCCATCCAGTTTGCTGTAATTGACTAACCGGATCATATCCGGATCCATCGGTTTGTTATAATCTACTAACTGGATCAGATCCGGATCCATCCGGTTTGTCATAATCTACTAACTGGATCAGATCCGGATCCATCCAGTTTACTGTAATTCACTAACCGGATCAGATCCGGATCCATCCGGTTTGTTATAATCTACTAACTGGATCAGATCCGGATCCATCCGGTTTACTGTAATTCACTAACCGGATCAGATCCGGATCCATCCAGTTTACTGTAGTTTACTGACCGGATCAGATCCGGATCCATCCGGTTTGCCATAATCTACTAACTGGATCAGATCCGGATCCATCCAGTTTACTGCAATTTATCAGCTGGATCAGATCCGGATCCATCCGGTTTGTCATAATCTACTAACTGGATCAGATCCGGATCCATCCAGTTTACTGTAATTTACTAACCGGATCAGATCCGGATCCATCCGGTTTGTTATAATCTACTAACTGGATCAGATCCGGATCCATCCAGTTTACTGTAATTTACTAACCGGATCAGATCCGGATCCATCCGGTTTGTTATAATTTACTAACTGGATCAGATCCGGACCTGTCCGGCTTGTCATAAATTATTAACCGTATTTGATCATATTTCATTCATTTCGTAAAATAAAGCAATATTTTCGTTTTTTTTTTAGAGGTTAGTACGATCAGCAATTTCGGCAATTGCTGGCGGTAATGTGATAATGTTAGCAGTAGATCGGACAATACTATCGGCAACGGTACCATCTATGGACATTAGTATAACTTCAATCAGTTCATTTGGCTCTTCATCTATACTCGATTGCTGGCTGTTACAATTATTCTGTTTTGATTAATTAATTTTGAAAAAGATATATGAGGAATTTTGATATGTCGTATACTGACTAATTTAACTTAGACGAAAGAGTAATTTGTCATTTGTTTAATTTTTAAATTCTCGATTTATTATTGTTTATTATTATTATTTTCTATTTAATATATCCAATAAAATTTAATTAAAAACACGAGTAATCATATTTCCTTCCAATAATTTTTCAATTCATTCATTTTTTCCTTTGCTTTGACTATGTTAAATTTTTATCATTTGTGGTAAATTTAAAGTTTTTTTTTTTTTTTTTTTGATTTGAGAATTTTCAGACCACAAATATCTGAAATATTGGCAACAAATGAAATATTAAATTGGTGGAATTGCAGCGAGAATGTTTTATCAATTCGTGATCAAGAATATTTCAGTGCTTCCTTAAATTTCTTCATGGATGATATTTGATTGTGCAAAAAACTACATAATATTTAATTTTTACTGGTTTACACGTTAAAGGTCAATACATTTGTTAAATTATAATATAAAAAGAAAAATTTTCCTTAAATAAAAACTAGTTAGCATATATACTAGTGAAATTTAAAACTAAAACTTAATATCTGAAATCATATATAGTACTCTTTTTGTTCAATTTATATAATTGATTTGTTGCTGTTGATTGGCTTTCTTTTTTTTTTGTTTGTTTGTTTTTTTCTTTCTCTCCATAAATGATTATAAAATTAATAAAACGAATCATTCAATTTTTCCTATTAAAGAAAAATGAAAATATATTTGTTGGCTGTTTATCAATGTAAACTTCAAATAAATCATTGTGAATAAAATTTAATTGACTAGTATTTTTTTGTTCTTTTTTTTGTTTTTGCAAGTATGTTTGGTGGTAATTTCCCTCATTTTATATATATTAATATTTATTAACTTCAATGTTATTGATTTTTCTTTTTTTCGTTTCCTTTTTTTTCTTAATTTCATGCTGTTGGAGTTAAAAAAATTTTCTGGTAAAAGTATTCAGAAAAGTGTATGAATAAATTTCTCAATAGCAAAATGTTCATTAGGCATTCTTTTATTAAAAAATTTTACCATACCTTATCTTCCTTTAATTAGAATTTCACAAGTATAAAGATGAATAAATTGAAAATTTTTTGTTTGCAACATAAATTTTATTCCAATGAACAGCTGCAACTTTACAACTTTAAGATGAATAAATTTTAAGTAAAATTAAATGAAAAAAAATTTTGAATTAAACTATTCATTTATGATTTTTGAGTAAAATCTGGCAGAAAGTTAATGAATTAGTTTTTTTTTTTTTTTTTAAAAAAAAAAAAATAACAAATGTATTCCTAGAATAGAGTGATATTTTTGATATGATTACGAATTTAACAAATTACTTAGAAAATTTTCAAATAAATTTAAAAAATATTTCTTTAAATTAATCACTGTATTAAATGCGCTTGCTATTATTATAAGAAGGAATTAAAATTGTTATAAAAATCTTCATTGTATATGCTTTTAACGATTAAAATGTTAAGCAAAAATTTCTATAAGCTATTAAATTCTCTAGAGAAAACTTTCAATATAATACTTTTACCAAAACGAAATCAAATTCAGTGGATTTTATATCCAATTTCCAATTTTATTTTCATCAACAATCATTTTGTAAGCTTATCATTCATTTTTATGAAAATCAAATCAAATAAATGTTGATAAGATTTCATTTGCTTAATTTCATACCAATTATTTTTTATTCATCATTTTGCTAATTTTGAATTATTAAAAGTGATCGGAAAAATTCATAAAAGTGTTTCAATTAAAATTGATTTTTTTTTCTTTTTAAAAAATAATGTATTTTTTGGAAGTTTATTGAAACGTTACGAAAGATATTATTCTAATTAATTAAATTATTTTGCAATTAATGAAAAATGAGAAAAATAATAGCAAAAAAAAAAATTTTTTTTCCTAAATAAAAAAGGAAAAAAATTTCAATCGAAGAAAGAAAAAATATATTTTTAAGCGAATTGTTAAAATATCGGAAGAATTTTTTTTTTTTTTTTACTGTTTTTATTTCAACTATTTTTATTCTCTTTTTTTTGAAAAATAATTACTATTTGATATTTTTTCTTCATTCTTACTAATAAATTATCATTTTGTATGTATGCTAATTTTTTTTTTATGTATGCTAGCGTTGAAATTTCTTCTCACGTATTAGTCTTTTTCTGTAAAGATTATGTATTTACTGCCGCGTAGTGATTCACTGCTAAAAAAAAAAAGTTAAGTAGCCTTGTTTACATTCTTACTCTATTTTAAACTTTTCCATATCCGTTTAAATCATGGTATTTTCAAAATTTCTGATAAATTTTTATGTATTTTTTTACAATTTAGCATTTCAGGGATGCGATCAATCTTAAGACGCTTGAAAAAGGATGTTGAAATGTCTATTCATTTAGCACACGAAAACAGAACAGGTTGATTTTTACTGGTGCGTTTTTATTTATTTCATTTAATTTCAGACCCCTTTTATTAATTAATTTAAAACAATGCAATAGTCTTTGAGTCATTTACTGCTTTTCTTCCTTAAGGTGTTTTTTTTTTTTTTTTTTTTTTTTTTTGTAATATTACACCATGTCAACGTAAACTTTATGAAAAATATTTATCATCTCGTGAGTGTGACCGTATTTTATCCGGTAAAGTGGATGCATTCGTTGGTTTAATCACATTACGCAAATTGTGTGTGTAATCATCCAGATCTTGTAACTGGTGGACCAAACAAATTTAGTATGCATTTTGTTTTGATAATCAAATTTAAATATTTTGCAAAATTGCATAGGAGTTATTGTTTGCTTCTCACTGTTATCAATAAGATAGTTGAATATCGCTATATATGTCTTATTTTTTGTTGTTTAGGGGAGAAGAGCAGGGAGAAAGAGGGAGAGGAGAGAGATAGAGAAGACAGGAGAGAGAAGAGAAGAGAAGAGAAGAGGAGACAAAGGAGGGGGGGAGAAAGAGGAGAGGAGGGAAAGAGGAAGAGGAAAGATAGAAACGGGGGTGGTAGGAGAGAGAGGAGGGGAGGAAGAAGAGGGAGAGAGAACAGGAGGGAGATAGAATATCGCAATAGTTACATTGAAAAGATTTAAGCATTTCATTGTTTTTGTTTTTTAAAAAAAAAAAGAAGAAAACCATATCATTTCATTCTGTTCAATTCTAAAATTGAAGTAAATGTAAAATAAAATTATGTGTCAAAACTGGCATTAAAATTTTTGCTTTTAGCATCAAATTTTCTGTTTTAATATTATTTTAAGTTTGTATTTTTTAATAAAGAAAAAAAAATTTTTTTTTTCTTTCATTTATTTTATTTTCAAAAAGTAAGATTAAAATAAAAATCAATTAAAAATGATATCGGTTTTTCTTTTTTTTTTTTTTTTATTAATTTTGTTGTTTGTTTTCACTTAGATCGCTTATTTTGCTGCTCAAAAATAAAACTGAGAAAAAAGAAATTTTTTTTTCTCAAAAGTATAAATCTCTTCGAAAAGGATAAATTAATAACAAATAGCTTTTGTCTTTTTTTGCAATAATTCAATTATTAAATTTATTTATTGTTAGTTTAGAAAATGTTTAAATTAATTAAGCATTATTTAAGTTAATTTCTTGTACCTTTTCCAATCTAATCATTTTATTATTTTCATTTTTTTATTTTAAAATTAAACAAGAAATATGCATTTAAATTCATATATTTAAATGTTTTTCACAAAACATTTAAATTCACAAAACAAAAATGAAAAAAATCATTTCTAATCACTTCGTGTCAGTTTTTTCACGTGCCTGTCGTTTCTTACGTAATTCTTTGCGACTTTCTGGTGGTTCAGTTCGTAATGGGATTTGCTCAAATTTAGGTCGTCGTTTCGAACTTGATTCCGATTCTTGACTGCTACTTGTTCGAATTTCAGCTGATTCTAGTGTTGGAGAGCTTTTGATAGCGCCTGATCCTTCCTGTTCACCCCTACCGCTACCAGTAGCACCACCGCCAATAGCACCACCACCGATAGCACCAGCAGTACCATCGCTAGCAGCAGCAGTAGCAATAGGAACATTTGAGTAGATGAGTACCGGATCATTATGTGCTGTAATTACCGTACAAATCGAATCACGAGAGCTTTTTGGTGGTAATATGTTTGGTGGTAATATTGAGGGAGCAGTGCTACTTTGGAGTGGAATCATTTCACCTGTTACATTTCCACTTTTAGACATGCTTTGATTGTTGAGCTAAAATTTCAGCCCAAAGTTCTCGTCTACTATCACTAATCTTTTCCTGGGTTGGGTAAATTACGTAAGATTGTTTTAAAAACTGTTAACAACTACCAGATCCTATTGGAAGCTGTTGAGCTGGACGCCAATTTTTGTTAACTGATACGGATGTTTCATTACTAATACTTCTGGTTGTTGCAGATGATACCGAATCAAAAGGTGGAATGATATATGATCCAAGAGGTGATGGCGCTAATCCTAATGTTCCTCTTAATGGAGTTGGTGTAACTGCATTTTCTGCACCAGACACCGTATAGATGGACGATGATAATGGTTGATTGTGATTTTGTGGTGACGTCAAACCATCCTATAATTTTTAATTTTTAGGTAGCTATTTTATTCTAAATTTTTAATATTTAATTTTAATCATATACCTATAAAATTGATTTTTTTTTTTTTTTTGTTTGTTCCGCAAACATTTGCAATGTACAAATTTAAATGATTGCAAATTTTTCTTTTCATATTATGAAATTGACATATTTGTAAAAAATTCAAAAAATAAAACAAGTGGAAACCATAATTTTGGCATAAGCTGCATCCATTAAAAAGAGTCGCACAATTGGTCCCAAATCTGGCACCTCCAATGATTTCTTCATTATTTCTTGACGCAAGAAATTGGTGCTGATGTATTTTCCAATATGCGTTCAGTCATTTCTTCACAAATTAATGATACCAATGAAGTCAGCTGAAAACTTTTTTACTGCAAACACAATCATATCTACTGATCATAACTATAATTTTATTGGATAGAAAGATTTGCTTGTCATTTATTTTAATTATTAAAAAGATTATTTGCCTCTATTGAATCACTATAATTTCTTTTCTATATCATTTAAAAATTTTTTGTTAAGGTATATTTTCAGAATTCAGTCATTTTGTTCCATCTGTATTGGTTTTATTTTGATTACCTATTAACTTATCAATTCTTCGTTTCGCCTATTTTTGATTATTAACTTATCAATTCTTCGTTTCGCCTATTTTTGATACATTTGACTTTGTCAACTGTTTCTTTCTTGATTTCATCCTTTTTTTTTTCTTTTTTTAAAAAAAACATTATTTTAATTCCTAAATTCTTTATTATTAAGTTAACTTTAATATACTTACTTGAAGATCATTAGCTGCTATTAGAACATTCTCCAATTCACTTTCTAAAAATTTGATTTGTCCACTTTGAATGAAAGCTACCACATTATAGAGACCGGCATTCGTAATATTTGGCATACCATTTAAATGAACTGTGATTTCTTTACCCGATGAAAGTGTTTCCTGTGTTGCCTAAATATAATCTTTCTAGGATAGTTAACCATTTAAAGTTATTTAAAATTTTAATTAGCTTAATTATATATATATATATATATATATATATATATATATATATTAAAAAAGGAAATGACCAAATATTTAAACAATTAGAAATTTTGTACAACAAATATTAATTAATTCAATTAAAATTTACTTGTGCTGAAATATGTTTGCGAAAGATATTCGAGAATGCAGTAAGTAAACATGCAGGTGCATTACATGAATATCCATTTTCAAGCACAATTTTTACTCGATTTTTAATACCAATATTTGCTGACCACTTTAAATATACTTCAGCTTCTAATCTATCAGCACGCAATTCATGCTTAAATGAAAACCAAAATAAAAAAAAAATGGTTAAATATAGTCAAGAAAAACTTTGAAAATATTTAATTTCAAATAAATCATTAAAATATTTTTTAGCAAAATTTATTCTTTTACGTTTAAACGTTTTTTTTCATCAATTTCTTTTTTTTTTTTTTTTTTAAATCATCATAATACATTGAAATTTCTCAATAATTTAATGCAGGTATAAAAATGTTCTCAAATAATCTCAATATGTTTTTCCTTTCACATTTTTCTGTTTTTTTTTTATGCATAAATATAAATATGCTTTTTTAGCAATTAATTATGGTTAATTAAATTAATTGGAACCTTCAAATACTGTTTGCGAATATCTCCTGGTACAACCCATACAGCATCCAACGCGAGTCGCTGTTGTAATTGCGGGACTCCTTCTTGCAATCTGCCGTACCACATCTGATAGAAGCATGCAAATGATGCGTTGCAATAATTTGAATCAAATAAATTAGTTTTTTTTCTTAGTAAATAAATTTGCATATGAATGTTGCAAATTTTATAATTTTTTGAAATTTGCAGATGAATGTTGCAAAAAATTCATTTTTGTTTTTTAAATCAACCAATAATGTATTTTTCAATATAATTTGAGTAATTGATAGTCTAATAAATTATTTCAAGCACTGACTGATATTATTTTAAAAATTAGCAAAAAAAATAATACAATTTGAATAATTGATAGTTTTAAAAATTACTTCAATTTGCTTATTTACTTGTCATTTTTGCTAATTTTAAATTAATATCAATTAATGCTTGAAATAATTTTTAAAACTATTAATTATTCAAATTGTATTAATTAAATCAATCAATAATGTATTTTTCAATATAATTTGATTAATTGATAGTTTAAAAAATAACTTCAAGCATTAACTAATATTATTTTAAAATTAACAAAAAAAGAATTAATGTTAACTCATATTATTTTAAAATTAAATTCAAAATGATTATGAATATTTTCATATGTCTAACAATTTACAATCAGTTAATGTTTAATGTGATTAAATTTATTTATTAAATATAATTATACTGCTCTTTTTACATAAATTATTAATAGCAAAATTTGATTTGCTATTAATTCTAATAATTTATCAATTAATCGTTAAAATATTGTTGTAATTAGCTTAATATTATATGTCTAATAATCAATTATTTAAGAATCAATATCTTTTATTATTTACAATTTTTCAATAATAATACAATTGTTTAAAAACTTACCAGAAGTAATTTTATCAAATAATATGATCATATCACCGGTACGTATATTCCATTCTTTCTTTAGCATATTCACTGATAAACTGTTAATAAATGAACTTTTTGACTCCTACAAAAGAAATCTAATAAGAATAAAAAATGCATGAAATTGTCTTAAAAGATAATCATAAAGACACTGTACGAAATATTTCTAATTTCTTTAAATAAAAGCTTCAAACTTTAAATAAAAATTTTTTTTAAAGTAAAAGGCATTATCCTAAAATTATTGTAAACGATGAGTCATTTCATTGAAATTTTTGCTTTGCAATCTTTTTTTCGCAACCTAAGTTAATTTTAAGTAGTAATTTTGCAATTAAAGCAATAATTTAGGATACATCTCGATGAATAAAACCTATGGTTAGCAATTTTGTTTACTAAAGCAAATGTCTATTAAAGATGTTTTGCATTTAATGATTTTGATGGATTAAATGGAATTAAAAAGAACGACAATTAATAACTATAATTTTTGCTTGCTTGAAATTAGTTTTGTTTGGAAAAAAAAGTTATACACCTATATTAATGTATATATGAGAGAGCATATTTATCATAGTATTTTGTATACATAAATGTGCATGTCACTTTTTTTTTTTTTTTGATTTATACTTGTACACGTCTATATTTCGATTTAATTCGTGTACTATGGTTGATAAAGACGATATCATACGCTTCATTGTTAGCCTGATGATATATTTATTGGTTTTTTGCCCTTGAGGATTTTATGCAAAACTGACAAATACTATTGCTATTACTAATAATAATAATAATAATAATAATATACTACTGCTACTACTACTAATAATAATAATAATAATTAATAATAATGATAGCAGCAATAATAATAATGATAATAATAATAATATAGAAACTGATTCATTTGAAAAGAGACTCGAGATGAAAAAACATATATATGCGATTAAAACGTTATGAAGTATTATACAAAACTATCAAAACCGATTAGAAAAGGAAATGAAACAAACAATATTCTATGTCTTCTCAAAAATTACTGCCTTTACTAGGACTAGGGTCCGGATCATTTCCTTTAAAATCAATGAAATTGAACGTTTTTCTTAGCATTTTCAATTGCGCTATTTTCAAAACAAAAAGATAATAATGTCTTATGGATGAAATTGTTTTATACCAAGCCTTCAGCGGTAACACAAGACAAATCATAGTATTCTAGCGAAACCAAAAAAAATTTAGCAAACCACGCCGAAACCGTGGGTTCATAATTGGTTTGCTAAAATTGTGATGTATTGGTGGATGACAATGTTTGCTATTTGCGTTACGAAACCATGATTATTGCGAAAATTAGCATCTCCATATGCCAAACATTTTCATATACGCTATCAATGTAAATAGAGTTTGGGACTAAATTAAAATGAGGAAATAAAGTGGTTAGAAATTCATTTTTGACATTAGAAATTAGTCATAATTACCAATTAGCAGTAAATCGCCGTGAAAATTATTCATTTTGTACCAATTTTTATTACTTGGACAAGGAAAGAAACAAAAAATTTTGCAAAAATTAAAACTTTATTCGCATTTAATAATTAATTAAAAGAAATTTTAACATAATTTAAACTTATCTCTTTGTCTAAATTACTGAAACTGGAAAAAATGCGGGATTTTCGTAATGTGCTTAGATTAGCAATTAAAATTAATTTCGGTCTCAGAAATGTTATAATTAATGTAATGAATGAATGAAATAATATTAGAAGTTATAAAGTTAAAAAATCAGGAAAGAAAAATTATGAAAAGAAATCAGTTCAATTTCAATATCAAAAAATAATTGAAATCATTTGTAATTGCAAACTCAATTAATTTTTACATTGAAAATTTAAAAAAGATTTTCTAAATCTTGTTTTAATTAAATTCTACCAATGCTAGAAAAATATAATTCATTTAAAAATGAATGTTTTTTGAACTTAATTGATTACATTCATTTACATCTTAGTTGATCTGCTGACATTTTATTTACTATTTTTGAAATCCATGTTAACTTTAAGCTTTAAAAGTTAACTTTTGAGCAAATTTTCATTACAGAAGTCAATTAAATCTGCAAGTATAATTGATTTCAATTATTTTTTAAATATTAAAATTAATTTTAGTCACAATTCTAGATAGTACTTAAGAAATTTCGACAGTTTTTAAAACTTTTAATAAATTAAATATTAAAAACGATTTAATTTTTATTAATTCTGTTTCAATTAAAATCTGCAAATGCTGGAAAAATACAATTCATTTAAAAATGAACATTTATTGAACTTAATTGATTACTTTTATTTGCATTACACTTGATCTGCTGACATTTTATTGACTTTTTTTGACATTTTATGTTAACTTTAAAGCAAACTTTCATTGCAGAAATTAATTAAATTGAATAATACTTTGGTAAAGTTTCGTTTTACAATTGAAATTTCTAACATTTCTAATATTTTTTATATTTTTATTTTTTTGATCAACTAAAGAATGACTCATAGTTTAGTTTACAATTAATAATTACTCAAAATAAAAATTAATAACATTTTTTTATTTAAATTTCATTTACATCAAAAAAATTTCATTTTTAAATGAATTATATATTTCTAGCATTGGTAAAATTTAATTAAAACATGATTTAGAAAAACTTTTTTAAATTTTCAATGTAAAAATTAATTATATCATATCATATATCCTTCCAATAATTTTCCAATTCATTCAATGATGATGAAACCGGATACAGTTCCGTATTACGAAGATGATTCTGTGCAAGTTATCAAATTACCTTACATTGGTGATGAAGTAGAAATGGTTATCATATTGCCAAGAAGACGTTTCGGCTTATCCGATGTACTGGGAAATTTGTCAGGCGAAAAGCTACTTAAATACGTCAATGAAGCAACGAACCGAAGTGTTTCCGTAAGTTACCTGTCCATTTCTAATTAATAATTTTCTTTTTTTTTTTTTTTTTGAAAAGTGGAAAAAAGAAACAAAATTTTGAAAGGTAAAAAGAGGAATTTAAGTGGAATAATTCTGTTACCATTTCTGTTTCGTCCCGAATTGTTGTTTTTTTCTCTTTCTAAATTAGCATGGAAGAGAGATTTTAGTTGATATAACTTTAAAGTTATTTTTAATTTTAGATTAAATTGCCAAGATTCAAAGTGGAAGAAAAACGAAATTTGAATAGTGCTCTGCAGGCAATTGGCATCACAGATGCTTTCAGCGGAAATGCTAATTTCGAAGAACTTTTTAATAACTCACTTCCAATTTCTATTGGCAAAATTATTCATGGAGGTTTCATTGAGGTTTGTGTGAACTTTCTTTGCATCATAACTGGAAATTTTTTAATGACTTAATTAATTACTTACAGGTAAATGAGAAAGGGACAGAATCAGCTGCTGCAACAATAATTGAATTAGAGGATCGCATGGGTTCATCGAAAATTTTCAACGCTAATCAACCATTCCTCTTTGCAATTGTTAAAGACTTAAAGACAGTTTTGTTCTTAGGACAATTTGTCAAATAGTCGAATGATCCTTTGTACTTTTCGTCATTTTTGTTGCTATGCATATGCATATGATAAATTTTTAGGTTTAAATCTTATATTCACCTTCGTCAATATTTGATATAACTTTGAATTCTTTACAAATACATACGTAAGTTAAGACAAAAGGTATGCACGTTTGACAGAATCACAGCAGTTTGAAATTTTTTTAATGTTACATTTTAGCAGGTAGAAAATGTGTAAAATTCATTGAGGATGCTGGAATAAAGGAATTCACTTACTGCCAGCTTATTCAATTCATCTGTCTCTTCCTAAATAGCTTATTCTCAACACGTAAACTGCGATAACTTAACGTTGACAAGATTCTAAGACTATCTCTCTTATCAATACTTTCATTTGATCACTACCTCACGATTAATTGATAATACTCGTTGAACATCACTTTTTCACATAAAAAATTTGTGGTTCCCTTTCTTGGCATAAAAGGAGCCATTTGGATTCCACTGAAATATATACGAACTCAAATTCTTGCGTAATCACAGTCCATTGATAAAGATATCAAAATCAACTGATAATGCTATATTAGCATTAATTACTTCTTGTCGGCAAAATCAAAAACTGCATTCAGTTATATGTATCGAAAAATTGAAATATCATAGACAAACATAAAAGCAGTTTCTGTTTCACACCTAAAAAATAACAAATGAAAAATGAGAAATCATTTATCCTTGTATGTAATTAAACTTTTCAAGAATTGTCGGAAAATCGGAAAGAAATTTTTTATTACACACTAATTTGATTTAGAATAATGCTAATGATTCATTACTATAAATCAATTCGTTATTCCTTTGTTATATTCCATTTTTTTTTTTCTTCGAAACAATGAATTCATTATCTAAACCTCAAATAGTAAATGTACATTTGTCTCTTCATTGTCCTTTCTTGTAAATGTTAATCTGTTAAACTAAGCCCACTTCTCACATCCTTAAAAATCTTCTCTAATAATTAATAAACAAAAAAAAGAAGAAGGATCGATGGCAGTGTTCTCTTTCTCCTACTGCCATTTATTCCTTCGCTGCTTCAATTATTCGACTGTAATATTGTACCGATTCACATTCATAAAGAAAATAAATCATATTTGGGTTGATCTGGTTTGCAGATTAGAAGAAGCAAAAAGATTCAGCTCAAGTTCTATAAACTTGAAATAAGTCGGGTAAAACTTTACAAACCTAAAATCATCTACTCTTTCTGACCAAAAAAAAATTCTTCAAAATCATGACAAGAATGTTACGTTTGCAAATCGTTTTCAACTTTATTTTTAATATCTTTCAATCTGACAACTAACAATTCTACAAGTAAAAGGTTGTAAGTTCGTTATTAAATGTTTATAGTAAAGGTCAAAAAAAAAATTTCGTCAATCGGTCGATCAAATTTTATTGTAGACAAAAACTGTCAATCATGACCATGACCTTATTTTCCATTTTTATTACAAAAATTAATTTGGTGACGAAAATATTTTCGATTCTGGTTGCTGTACATTTAGGTGTTTAATGCATTTCCATTTGTTTTCTTTTTCTTAAAATTCTCAAAAATATTTCGAAAAAATAGGCAATCTGAAATTTGCATAGTAATTCAAATTTTTATCCCATATTCCAAACAAATCGTTCACTTTTAACTTCACATCCATTTGACATTTAGCTTAAGAAATAGAGAGTTATTTAAATCATATCACGTATCTCATTTAATCATAACACGTACGTACGCTTCTCATCACTGTTACTACTCGCTGTAGCGGAATTTTCAGATTGAATGTTCAAAGTCAACCTTTCCGTTTAGCTTAAGGAAGAGAGAGTTCTCACTCAAATCACACCACGTATCTCATTTAATCATATCACGTACGTACGCTTCTCATTACTGCTATTACTCGTAGTACCAAAATTTTCAGATTGATAGTTCAAAGTCAACCTTTCCGTTTAGCTTAAGAAACAGAGAGTTCTCACTCAAATCATATCACGTATCTCATTCAATCATATCACGTACGTACGCCACTCATTACTACTTGCAGTATCGAAAATTTCGGATTGAAAATTCAAAGAGTTTTCTTTTTTCTTTCCTTCCTGTCCTTCAAATACCATTCAATTACTTCCGTTTGCGCAAATTTATTGCGCGTGGGAACATTTAGCGCTGTTGGTCTTTTAGAAAATGAAATAATGTCGCCAATCGATAAAAAAGAATAAACAATTACCAACTACGTTATTTCGCTCCTTTTACCGTGGTTTCTCATTGCAAACTTGTTTGTTACCTAAAAAATTACAACTTTTTGAGGCGAAAAATTTTCACCGTAGCAGATGAAATATGTAGGAAATATAATGAATAGATCAATAATAGGAATGTCAGGAATTCTGGTCTAATCGGAATTTTCCGGAAATAATACTTCAGAATTGAGGTATTAATGAATGTCATTCATTGTTTTTTTTTTCTTTTTTGAGCGGTAATCTTTGCATATTTTATTCAGATTAATCAATTTTGACTAATTCCATTAGCTTAAGAAGTATGAATAGATCAATAATATGTATATCAGGAATTCTGGTCTAATCGGAATTTTCCGGAAATAATACTTACTTCAGAATTGAGGTATTAAGAATGTCATTCATCGTTTTTTTTCTTTTTTGAGCGGTAATCTTTGCATATTTTATTCAGATTAATTAATTTTGACTAATTCCATGAGCTTAAAAAACTTTTTTTTTGCCTGCATTGTTATTTAAATATGATATTAAATAGATATTTTTATAATTTCTTTTTTCTTATCCTATCTCAAAGAGAAAATTAATTTTCTTTTCTTTTATTAGTGATAAAAATTATGAATGCATATAAATTTATAAAAATTATAAAGAATTATAAAAAAGTTTTTTCAAAAATCTTTCTCAAAATTTTAGCAATCACAAAAAGCACTGAGAGAATTACTTATGAGTTGAAAGTTCAAATTTTCATTCCTTACCACGTCTTAAAATTCGAATAGAAATTTAGTGAAATTTAAATTGAAACTTTGTTTAACAATGACTATCAAATTATTTCCCTAGCAAAAATGAGGTAAATGAAGGAATGTCTAGAATGTCTCGAAGAATTCACTTATTAATTAATTGAATTCATAATTTTAATCATTTTTATTTTTTGAAATTTTCCTGTAATTGAAATTTCCGATAAAACTTGAAGAACAAAAATTTAAAAAATTATAATTTTCAGCGAATTAAAAGAAATCAATATGGAATGAATTTTTATGAATTTTACTTGTTTTTTTTTTGAGTTAATCGTCTTTTCATTCAATGAAATTAAATTCTCTCACAAGCATACTCATAATTTTCCTTCAATTTCTAAAATTTAAAAATTAAAAAAAATTTTTCTTCTATAAAAAAGCAAAATAAATTACCCATGATTATTTTAGAGATTTAACGAATGCATAAATTAGAAATAAATATGGAAAAAATGTAGGGAAAATTTATTCATAATTAATTAATTCCTTTTTTTTTTTTTTTTTTGTTTTTTGTTTTTTTTTTGCTTCATGAGAAAAAATTAAATTGATTTGGTTAAATTCACAAAAGCAATTATTAATTCCTTTTTATTTTTCTCTCTTAAGCAAATGAAACTATTGATGAGAAATAACTTAACTACTTTCATTCATAAATGGCAAATATTTAATTACCAAGAATTTCTCATTATAATTTCTATTATTGCTAAGATTTTTATACGCTTATAAATACATATATGTATATCTCATAAATATAAATGATTTATTGAAAGGATAATACATTTTTTATTTATAAACAAATTCTAGCATTTAATGTCATTTTTGAATGTGTTTTTTTTTTTTTCTTCACCATGGAGATGAAAATGGAATAATTATAATAAATTTTGATCTTTTATTTGCAATTCACATGTAAATTACTAGCTAGTAAACAAATTTTGATTTTTTGTTTACAATTCATATGTAAATTACTAGCTAGTAAACAAATTTTGATTTTTTGTTTACAATTCATATGTAAATTGCTAGCTAGTAAACAAATTTTGATTTTTTGTTTACAATTCATATGTAAATTACTAGCTAGTAAACAAATTTTGATTTTTTGTTTGCAATTCTTATGTAAATTACTAGCTAGCAAACAAATTTTGATTTTTTGTTTACAATTCATATGTAAATTACTAGCTAGTAAACAAATTTTGATTTTTTGTTTACAATTCATATGTAAATTACTAGCTAGTAATAAATTTTGATCTTTTGTTTACTATTATCTGAAAAATAACTAGTAACATTCGAAGAATTGAAACTTTTTTCACCACCTGTTATGATGCTATTTGACGTTTCCACCGAACTTGACGTGAACTTTTTTTACGTGTATTAGTAAGGTAAAACGATGACGTGAAATAGCAAATGGTTCCATTCTTCCTGTTATAATTAAAATTTTTTTTTTTTAACTTAATAATGGTATATTAGGGTTATACACAATGTAAACGATAGATGCATTCATTTTAAAATTTAATTGATATAAAATACTGAGAGAAATTATCATATATTAATTAAATTTGAGATATTTATGAAAGTAAATTTATTAAAGTTTATTTTGAAATTTAATTAATATAAAATACTGGGAGAAATTATCATATATCAATTAAATTTAGGGTATTTGTGAAAATAAATTTATTAAAAAATGATAAGCTAAACAATTTAGCTTGATTGATAAGCAGGCGCAATAATCCATAATCATTTTTGATGTAATTACTATTAAATAAAAAAAAAAAACGAATCGAAAAATACCACTGAAATGCAGTAAATAGGTGTAGGTTTTTAAAATCTGCTATATAATTTTAAATTTGAAATAGTTGGCTTTAAATTTAGTAATTAAAATTTTTTTAATTAAATAAATTAGTTTAACTTTTTAAATCGAACTACAAAATGCTGCAAAAAAAAATCCTATCTCTTTGTAAAAAAACTATTCATATCTAAATTACTATCTAGTATTGTTTAC